TTTATGTTTGAAGCTTCCAATTTGTCTTTTCTAGTTCTTCATGATATTTATAATAGGTTATTTTCAAATATTATGACCTCACTGTGGTGTGGAACACCAGACCACATTTCTTCTGTGCTTTGGTGCCATTATCTGATCTCCATTTATCCTGCCTCCCTACTACCTGTTTCAGCCTCTAGTAATCACAGTTACACATTCAGCTTGACTTTTTAAGCTTCCACATATGAGAGAGAATATGCAGTGTTTGTGATTTACTCTTAATCTGATAGTATTCTATATCCTCCAGTTTTACTCTTCAGTATGTTTGGTCATATTAAGCCCCCTTTTTTTTTTGTCTTTTTCCTTTTTATCGGTACCAGGGATCGAACTCACGACTGCCTGCTTGCAAGGCAGGTGCTTATGCCGCTGAGCTAAATCTCCAGCCCCTGTATTAAGCCCTTTTTATCCTGATAAATTTTAGAATCACTGTCTAAAATGCCCTTTGAGAATGGTTTTGATTTTATTGATTCATTAAACTTTTCTGTGTCCCTCTGACTTGAAATCTATGTGACCTTTTGAGGTGGATACTGGTAGTATGTTTGTACAATACTTCTTTTTTCTAGTAAGAAGTCGGCTCTACGTTTCAGAAGACTGTGTGCAATTTCACGCTGCCTTTCCTGGCCAGGTGCCAACCAAAAATTCAACTAATTTTCAGGTAAGAAAACCTTGTTTCCATGTTTTGAGTTTTAATCCCATTTTACTAACCTCCTGCAACTACCAAAAATAAGATAGTTTCTCCTTTTCTTCAGTAGACTCCTTCTACTTTAGGGCCAACCTGCATCTTCAGCCTGTGGCCAGAATTAGCAAATGCCTCAAGGAAGAGATATGCCTATGATTATCAGCTCACTTAGAAAGAGCTCTTTGGTACCATGCAGGGAATATTTTAATTCTTACTTCCTCTTCTCTTTTCCCTATCCCCTTGCCCTCAGTATCTTGGAACCTTTACTGTTTATAAGAAATGTGTCCCCCAAATACCTAGATTATATGTCATAAAATGTGAGGTAAGAATAATAAGAAGAATATAAACGGGGAAAGAAGATTGAGAGAGAGGAGAGGGAAGTGGAGGGAAAGGAGAATAACATATGAAGCAAAGTGTGCTATTTGCATGTCCCTATTCCCCACGACGAATGTAACTTTGATGCACTACAAACATGTATTAATAAAATAAAAATTAAAATTAAAAAAGCCAAACTTTTCAAAAGAAAGAGCTCTTTGCTCTTTGAAATTTTAGTACATCATGTCCTTGGTGCACATCTTGATTATAGCCTTAAGCCTGTTGACCATGCAATTCATCTTTTTTTAGGGCAGTTGTGAGAGGAGAATTTCTATCCTGTTTGAAAGCGATCTGGTCTACCTTGACTCTGTCTCAGGTGGGTAGTTTGTGAGTGCATAGACCAATTTGTAGGTCAAGGAAGAGCAGGTAATGGACATATACTGAACCTTTCGATGATGAGGATTCCATAGGGGACTGATCCAGCTGTCTCCATCCCCCTGCATTAGTAACATTCAACTTAGACTTAAGTCCATTTCCAGTACCCAGGTGTGATTAACATTCACAGTTCTTTTCCTATTTAGGAGAATGAGATGTAAGTTCTTTGTCTATTTAGGAGAATGAGATGTAGGTACTGCCCTATTACAGCCAATTTGCAAACTGTAGGCACACCTGCATTTGCATCATCTGACATCGCATTTTTGGAGGTTAGACATGACTGACTTCCAGCTCTGCATCTTCACTTACTATGTGAACATGAGCAAGTGACTTAATTCCCCTGAACCTCAATCTTTCCACCCATAAGTTCACAGAATTATTTTATTATGAAGATTAAATGTACTAATACATAAAAATGGGATTTTCATTGTTTGACACAATAGTTCATTCATAAATACTTTTATTAAATAGTTAGGACATGCCACCTCATCTGATTCATAGATTTTGAGGCTGCGGATTATGTTTGCTTACTTTTTGGGGTAGTAAAATGTACATACAGTGAAATGTGCAAAGTTTAAGAGTTTTGACAAATACATAACCCTGTGTAACCGACAATCCTATTTAAATATTATTACTGTTACCCTAAAAAGTTCTCTTATACCCATTCTCAATCAGTCCCCATCCTCTAGATGCAACCTTTTCCTGATATTTTTTCCACTGTGTATTGTTAAGCATTTTCTTGACTTGTAAATGAATACAGTATGTGTTCTTTTGTGGCTGACTTTTTTGTTAAATTTATTGTTTTAAATATTCTTCCATGTACTTGTTCCTATCAGTACCATTTTTATTGGTAATCAATGTCACATTTTATGAATATACTGCAATTTATTATTCTCTTATTGAATATCTGGTCCTTTTTCTATTTTTGGCTATTATACATAAAGCTGTTACAAGTATTCTTATAAAGTTTTTTGTGAACTTACATTTCTCATAGGTAAATACCTATGAGCAGATTATCAGGACATAGATAGGCGTATGCTGATTTTTCAAGTAACTGGCAGGCATTTGCACTCTTACCAGTGGCATGTGGAAATCCTAGTTGTTCTGCATCTTTGTCAGCATTTAGTGTTGTCAGTCTAATTTTACTTTATTTTCTGTTCATCTTTTAAATGTCTGTTCATATCTTTTACCATTTAAAAATTGGGTTGTTTGTATTCTTTATTAATTTTAGAGGTGCTTACATAGACTTAGTATAATTTCTTAGATACTGTATATGTTTTGTTAATATTTTTCTCATTCTATGCCTCTTCATTTTATCAACTACATTTTTTGATGAGTTGGTCCTTCTTTTTACCGATGTATGGTTGAAGCTTGATTGTATCTACTGAGTAAATATGTTAAAAATTGTTCTCCTTCCCAGTCAGGCATGGTGGTGCATGGCTATAATCCTAGCATTCAAGAGGTTGAGGTAGATAAATCACCATTAGTTCAAGACCAACCTGGGGCACATAGTGAATTCAAGACCAGCCTGAATTACAGAGCAAGACCTTATCTCAGACCCTCCCAACCCTTCCCCCCACCCTGAAAACCTAAATTGTTTTTCCCTCGCACTTTTTCCCTTGATTCAGGGACATGGATTACTTACCACATGCTAATCATGCTCCTCTGCCTTGGGGACACAGTAAAAAAAAAAAAAAAAAAAAAAAACAAAAAACACCAGGTTTCTTAATCTTATGTCACATTTTAGTCCATATAAATCATGGTAGGGTGGGAGACAGAAAACATAAGAATATATGAGCTAGTTTTAAGTGCCATAGTACAAAAACACCATGTATACTTAGTGGGAAATGGCAGGATTTTGAACAAAAAAAACAGAATGATCTGACACAACGTCTTATAATTGGAAATACTATGTAATGTAACTGAGTGAATCAAAATATGTCCTGTGGGGTCAAGTCAGCTCCATGTTTGCGTCACACACCAACTGGCTGATGTCTTGTACTCTAGTAAACATCTAAGTAGAACATTCAGCTGGAGGTGAAGCTTCTGGCCCCCTCCTGGTCAGAACAGCTGAAAACTAATAATAGGCTGGAAAGTATCCTAAAACAGTGAGATAGAGTGTTGCTTCTTAAGATTCTCCACCAGCAAAAGCCTGACTGAGGTCAGAAAAAGATACATAGCCCAATTTATAGCATGAGTATTCAGAAATTGAATGTGTAGGCATGTCTAAGAAAAAGTGGCCAAAAGTATGTAACCACACTGATCAGCAATAGACTAAAGATATATGATCTAATAAATGGAAAATAATGGAATAGACTATTGCTGGAAAAAAATAGTGAAGGGAGACGTGAAAATAAATTAATGAAAATAGTTTGGCAATTCATGTAGGAAATAAATAAGCTTATTAGACTGGAAAGCAAAATTACCCATCTGAATGAGAGAGGGGAACATCTGCCTCCTCCCAAATGAATGTAGGCTATGCACCCTTGGGTTCCAACTGAGCTCTCTTGTCAGTTCAGTTTAAGATCATAGAAAGGACATGAGAAACCTAAGGGTATATGGACATAAATGTAGTAGGTAAGAAAGTAAAGGACTGTGAGTCAAACAGAAAAGTGAGTAGACAGTATGAGCTATGTTAAATTACTAGTAACTTTTTTTTTGGTACTGGGGATCAAACTTATGACTTCACACCTGCCAAGCAGGCGCTTGTGCCATCTAGCTCAACCCCTGGCCTACTAGTAACCTTTTACATCCTCAGTGAATTCATTTTAAGGAGACCGAATCCATTCAAAGGGTAAGGCAGACCTATGTGGCAGGTAGCTTATATTGAGGTGATCCCTAGATTTTAAAACAATATTTTCTTAAGAAAGTGGATATAAGGAGCCCAGCAGACATGCAGATGAAAAGCTGGAAGAACTAACTGTTAGATATGGAAAATGAGCACTAAATTGAAAATGATCAAGAAACTAATTTTATAACTGCAGTTGTTCAAGTTTACCAAAAGTCACAAAATGTAGGACTTTCAATACCATGCAGTACCAGGACACAGGACAATTAGAAGCTTCCATGAGTGGTTTTCTAAAAACAGAGAACATTTAGTAGCTTCAGCTATAAATGGCAATGAGGCAAAGGTGCTGATAATGACAGAGCTAACTAAAAGACTATAGACTCATGTATTTCCTCAGTAGAGATTTTCAAGTGAAACAAATAAACTACCTGTGTTCACTTTGTTCCCAAATTCCCTAACAAGAGATAAAGGCCATGAGAAATTCAAAAGAAAGAAAGGTTGGTAGATAACCAAAAGGTATAAAAAATGAGAAGCAATAGCTATAGATTTCCTTTCAATCTTATGGACAACTCTTGATAGGGGTGCCCTATGGCTAGGAACTGTAGGAGGAATAAAAGCTCAAGGATGCTAATCTTTGTATTTTTTTTTTCTATTATTAGGTCTGCTTTGCTGTTTTCTCTTGGCTGTGACCATCGGTCTGGTGGTCATTATAATAGCAGTTTACTACTAGTACAAACAGTACTATTTGTGTATTTTGTGAGAGGTTAGCCAACATCTTCAAAAAGTACTGTAGTACCACAGTCTTCCTTCTATACTTGATCACCATATTTATGTCAGCAGCCTCACTTCACATTTAAAGATCTATTGGTGGTCCCACAGGATCTACTGTCATCAAAGGATCATTTGCTATAGCCTTTTGTAGTGTTTTATCTGAGAGAAGTGAATCATGGAGCCTGTGTCAATGCCTTTACTGGTTGGTGGACTTATTGATTGTGTAGCTCAGTTAATAAGAATTGCTGAAGAGATTCTACAGCTTATTTCACAAGGGCAGCAAATTCCTCGGGGAGAAGAGAATAATAGAGTAGTACAGGTTGAAGCTGAGGCAACTCCCCCGGATGAAGCATCACTACCAGATCTTGCTAATTTCTCTGACTTAGAATCAATACTTTCGCTAAGAGAAGATGAAGACATGGTCTTTGATATCGATCAAGCTTTGTTTGATATAGGTGATATAAATGAAGATCTACTCCCTGATATGGACAATAATTAACAGGGGGAATAAGTCCCAATTTTCCATCACCAACACGTGAGAACTGATCAGTTCTCTATTTCAAACATATTCTGATTTCTGAACATTAGCTGCACATTTTCATTGTTAAAAGTGTTTACTGTTATAGAACAAGTACGATTTGTTTTCCTTTCAGCAAAGACTGGTGTTTTCTTTGTTGTTTGTTATGCAGAAAGCTCTAACTTTAGCGAAGTGGTTCTTCTGTTAAGATTCATCATGATAGGCGCAAATAATAGCAAAGAAAGGAACCTCTTTAACCTAACAATAGACTGCAGCCCTGGGACCTCTGGCATCTTGAGACCCAACTTCACCGTTCTACAATAAAAAACAAATAAAAAGGTCAGTAACTCCCTGATGATACTACAGAGACTATCTTCACATTAACAGGACAAGTTTAGGATACTTGTACTTGTAAATATATAATCCCTTACTGGATCTTTAAGAGAAGATTTGTTGAATAGGATGTTGCCATGGACTAAGGGAGGTAATTCTGAAAGAATGGCACCTACCAGATACACTACAGGATATTTAGATGAATGCTGCAAGAGAGAAACATTTGAAAAAGCTGGGGCTAAGAGGTTCCCGTGCAGAACTGTTCCTACAAATGCTGACCCACATCACAACTACTTTACAATATTGTTCCCCAAATGGAAATGGCACATTATACCAAATAACAGAAGTACTGGAATGCCTACATGAAGCTCTACAAAGACTTCACCAGTGGAAGGCAAGTACTTGTCATTTATGCCTAGATGTGCTGGTTTACAAAGGGGAGTGGATAGAATGTATCTTTTTGCATACAACTATATTTAAAATGAATAGTTGGTAGGCTTGCTATGGTGAACCTGCTACAGTTTCATCCTAGTAATACTGAGAAGTAGGAACAATAGTGAATGTAAACAAAATATGGGCTGGTATTTAGCCATGATAAGTCTCCATATACCAGAAGGGGTAAATGCAGTAGTTGAAGCACTCCCACTTCAAAACATAGAGGGAACAAATGTGAAAGAAATTCACCAATTATACTAATTCCATGCCAGATACACCTTTTCACTTCGATTTGGAAGAATAGCTATCCTTCAGCAAGGCTCCTGCACATTATGTACTGCCGTCCTAGAGACTGGTCTTTGCATCTCATGACATAGCTAACAAACTAGGTAAATATGTAAATGTATAGCATCAGCAGTGTGGTATATGCGGATTGTGAGGAAGTGATATGCAGAAGGCAATCCACACTGGTGGGAACTAGACCACACTAATTTATATAGAGTGCTAGAGCATATTACAGTCAAAAAATTACAATAGCATTTAATACAGATGACTTCAGGGCTAACCACATGACAGAGGTTGCATCTAATATTAAGTCAGGTCTTCATACGTAAACAATGAATCTTTAAATATAAATGTGGGGAACTAGAGTATGTGGTCAGGTCTTACTTGGATGACCAATAGTAGGCGAAGCATGTCGGTTTGAAAGCATGATTTTCAGGATAAAGTGATTTAACAAATTTAGTAAAGTGATAGTTACATCCAGAAAAACTATCATAGATCCTTTAGAAAAATTAGAATGCATAGAGTAGTTTAACATATTAGTATGAAAGACTTCTAGCTGTGTGGAAAGAATGATAAGAATTTAATAGGGACCCAAGGGGCAAGCAAAGACACCAATAGGGAAAATAAAATTATCTTCTCAAACAATGACTGAGGGTAAGTAGCCATATTAGGCAGCAGTTTGTGAAACTTTGCTGCTACAATTACTGAATAAACCAAACCTTATTTTGCCAGTGATACACAGTTATGTTCCAAAAGGCATATAATTTTTGCACTACAAAAGAACTGTACCAATTTAACCTCAATAGAATAGTGAGAAACCAAGAACCAGCTTCGACGTCCATACCAGTGAGAACAGTTTTACAAAGGTTACTGATAGCAATTAAACAAGGAAATCTATACACTTAGTGATATTTTTGTATCCTTACATTGAGTAAATATAGTAACAAAGGAACTGATAAGTTAGAAAAATAGAATTTATGCTTTAATTAAATGTTTATGACAGCCAGGGAAGACGAACACTCCCCATAGGGAATTTGGGCTTTAGGAAATTGGGCTATAATTTGTGTGAAAATACAGTTTAAAGCATAAATACCTGGACAAGATCAGGAAACACATCCAAAGAGAGACCACTAGTTTGCTATAAATTCTAATTGATGAGCAACTTAGCTTGAAAAAAGACATGTTATTCTAGCTATCTGTCCAAGTAGAAATCTAGAATGTGCTGTTCTTGAAATATGATACATCCTGAAGGGTAGCTTTCTGCCTGAAAAGAACTTCAGAATGTTCTGTTCCTTGCACATGATACATTTTGAAAGGTAGCTTTTTATCCAAGTAGAACTCTAGAATATGGACTTGGCTAGCTTTTTAAAACTCTTAAGATATTATGAGAAAACTTAACTCTACTCATTCAAGCGATTCATTAATATAACAACTGGAAAAATATGTAAAAGTGCTCCAGACCTTGAAATAAGACTTGAATCAGCCTGTAAAACATCTACCAATACACTCCTTAAGAGTCAAAGCAGGAAGATGCTACAACTTCGTAGTATGTGGGTCTGGATAGCCTCTTACAGGATTCCTGGAAAGACTGCTCTTTAATGGCAGCTTGGGACCACATGTACTTGGATGTTTTTTTTTTTTTTTTTTTGATTGTGTGGTTATATGTGTTTAAGAATTGTTAAAATGTAATCTTACTCGAAATAGATTATTTTACTAGTTAAAGTTTCCTATGTGGAACAGAATTAGAAATAGTTAATAGTGATAAAAGTAAATTTAGGAAAAAAATAATTAGAAATAAGAACAAGGGGGCAGATGTTTTAGGAGTGAGTAGAACATTCATAAATTGTAAAAAGTTATGGAACCATTTAGGGCAGAAGGCCATTGTATGGGGTTTGTTCCTAAGCAGATTTATGAACCAACCTATTTTTGTCTTACGCAATTTAGCTAACCCCAAGACACTGATAAAATCTAAAAACTGTATTAGAGGAAGAAGTATTAACTAACTTAGCCACTGATTGGATGCTGCTGATCGAATCCTGAGTCTTCTTTAGAAGAATAGATATCAAACTAGCATTTTGCTGGATCTTGACATTAGAGCCAAAGGCAGTTCTTCTATGGAATGGAGGAATCGAGAGTAGAATGGATTGGGTGTGAAACCCAAGAGGAATAAGATGGTAGATGGCAATTAAATAGTAGCACAAGTCTTCATCCATATGTACTTTGGCTATATACTTCTGTACTTACATGTGATGATTACTTTTAGCTATTAGATTATAATTGTTTTTCATCCTTGTTAAATATTAGTCCAAACCATTTTATTGTTTTATTTTAAGATGTTTTAACTAATAAAGTTTCATGACAAAGCAAAGAAATTGTGGTCATTTTAAATTACCTGGTTGTGAATTTGGAGGCTACTAAAAGGGACGTAAAAGAACTCCACTCAACTGAAGATAGCAGGGTATAATCAGAGAAAATTTTGTATCAGAGTCAGAGGTTCTACTTTTGGCTTGTCAGATGATCTGGAACAAACCTGAACATATTTTTAAAAAATCATTTTTAAAATAAGAATTATGACAATTTTTCTGCTTATCTTCACTGATAATAAGGAACAAATGAAACATTATTCATTCTTTGGTATGTCTGAAAATGAACTGGCTACTGTACACAGAATCAGGACTTTCCATGGATATCTGAAAAAAGTCTGGATGAGAACACTTAAAAGTCTATTTGACATGAAAAGATTATCCATGAGTTTTATAACCATTTTCTAAGAGATCAGAGCTGTCTTATTCTACTTCATTTCAAAGCTATGTATAGTTTAGAATTGGCTTTTGTTTCATTCTTAGGAGCTTATTTTTCATCAAATTAAGTTTTTAGGGGGAGCCTATTTGAGTCCTATTAGGAATAGGGAAGAAAAAGCTCTTCAGGAAATAATAAGTTGTATTACATTTAAGGCTAAGATTTTCCCCTAAGGGACTTACACAACTCTGAATATTATTAAACTACAATGATCCACACAGATCTTTACAATTATTTTTTACAACAAGTAGGATGAATATTGTGTTTTTATGCAGATAACCTCATCATCTTAATGGACTATAAATATTTAGTGATTCCTCTTGGGTACACTTTCTGTTTTCTTAGGAACTCTGCTCCCTCCAACAACTTTTAAAACGTGTTTTCCTTCCATCTGTGTAATGCTTACAAACCAACCAGCCAACTGACTGAAATTTCTAACAAAAATAAAAATAGCTTCTAGTTCCTAAGGTTATTTGGGAGTTATTCATAGTGACATAATAGCTGTCTATTGGTCTTCAGTATCACCTCTCTTCAAGATAATAAAGAATTTTCTAAGATGATCACCATAATACCTCTGAAGAAGGGAGTATCCTTTTAGCAAGGTAAGTAAAACCACTTAACTTTGTATCTCTTGTCATAGCTCATTTTAGTGATTTTTAAAAGTGCTGAAAACACATTAAGAGTTATTTATTTATTTATTTATTTATTTTTTACTTTGAAACAAGGATTTGTGTAAAGTGCGTTACTGGGTGAACACTTATGAAACCCAGGTTGTTCAGATTCCTTTAATCAAAGATGTTATTAACCAAATCTCTTGCTGTAAACACATAAGCATACATGCTCTTTACATTATGACAAATTATGGGAATAATAATCATTTTAATTGTTATATTCTTACTTAAATTTGAGGAAACATTAGGATTTTGAAACACTATCTTCTAAAATTTTAATGTTGACAAACTCCTACCTAGCTTTGGAAATCAGCTGTGTCACAGCTATTTTTTAGAGAAAAAAATATTGCTACCTCCAGTTCTTGAGATTTAACCCAGGGCTTTCACAATGATCTATGTGTCCAGCATCCTACCCCTTTATTTTACATTTTGTGACAGGGTCTCACTGTGTCACTAATTGTCCAGTCTGGGATTGAACTTTACATCATCCTGCCCCAGCCTCCCAGAGTGCTGGAATCACAGGCATGTACCACCATGTCTGGCTATAGAATACATGTTTTTAGAATACATGTTTTCAGCTGAGGGTGTAAGGAACATTGTGACTGTCTGAAACTTAAAGTGTGAGTAAGCTTAGCTTTGGATCGTTTTCCCTGGTGCTCCTCTCCCACCATACCTTTACCCATTGAAAAATTAGCTACCTATGCTGTACATTTCTTTATGTCCTGGTTAGAATTACAGCACTCTTAAAAAATTTTTTGAGTAGAATGTCATCAGGGATGGCACTAAAGAGTGAGGAAGATCTGCTCTGTTCTGTTCCTGACTGTAGACACTAAAGAAGCATCCTGTCTATCCCTGAGGATAGAAATACAAGGTCCAACTTATAAACGAAAGAAGAAAATTTTTCTCTTTTAGTATGTCTAGAGGAAATTGTTCTTTGAGTAACCCTAGCCTTAGGAAAGAATTACTGCCCATTCCTTTACCAAACTTCAGATTTTGAAGTTCACCTGGAAAACAAACAATACTTTTAAAAAATATCTCTAACTTGTTTAGGGGCTTCAACATGTGATTCTCAGACTTCCGATTCTTGAATATGACTTACTTAAGACATAAATATGTTTTTCTCCTTGATGAATTACATAAATTGGCTCCAAGGAATTTGAGGAATTTTTTCTAACATGGAAAGATTTTGTTCACTTGCCATAGGTATCATGAAAGAATAAAGTTAAGTTTCATTCCTCTGTGTCCAATATAAAGATTGACTTCCTAGTTTAATCATATCGTGTAGGAAGAGAGTTTTTTCCCCAGCAGGAATTGTTGATCAAATCCATCTCATAATATTATAAATGATCAATATCATAATCTTTTTGTATGTTTATGTCCTTAAGAACTGTATATATGTTTGCTTAAAGAGTAGATTGTGGATATTTATTAAAGAGACCTTGTCTGCTACCTTGAATCAGAGACTTAAAAATGAAATTTTCACAAACACTTGAATTACTGGAACCTCAGTAACTCACATGATTATAATTTTGATCAAGCATACTAAGGTTAAAATTACAAAACACCCCAAACAAAGACATTGCTGATTTGTTAAAATGATTACTCATCCTCAAACTAGATACGTGGATTGAACAGACAAAAATTAGAAGCTGCACTCATTTGAGACTCACAACCTGAGATTTAAAAAACAAATTGTAATTTGCAGATTGAGGATTAGTTTATAGTGGAAATGAAGTTATAAGTCAGAAGAGTTTTATAGAGTTTGATGACTACATAATCAAAGCAGTATTATTAGACTACAAATTTTAAGAGGTGGGCCAGGGATATAGCTCAGTGGCACAGCATCTGCCTGGAAAATTCAAGGTCCTGAGTTTGGTTTCTGATATAAAAACAAAAAAGCAATTTAAGAAACATTTGAATTCTCAAGTCTGAACTTCTAATCAGGTAGCCTTGTTTGATAATAAAACTGGCTAAAATGGAACAATGGTTATTGCTAAGATAATTTATCTTGGAAAATTTGGAGCAAGATAGACAAGTCTCAAAATGATTCTGAAGTCTTTGACTAGGACATTAAACTTTGAGCTATATTTGGACTTACAAGACTATAAAAGTATATTCTTCATTAGGACATATTTTCATGGAAGTTAAGTGTCACACATGGTCTTCATTGGAAACCTGGACTTAGAGTCTGGTGCGCTTTGCCTGAAATGTTTCTATCTGTTATTAAATGCAAGGATTCTCATTGATTTGATTTACAATGATTGGTGAATAGAACGAGGCTTGAAATTGTTGATTTTTGCATGCAATATTTTTAGATTGATTATGTTTTACTGGTGAATATCCATAATTTTGAATAGTGAAGACGTGCTCCTTTGCCAGTTTTACAAAAATAACATGTTCTGCAAAATACGAAGCTAATTAAATTGGCTCATTATTGAAAAAAGACACCTCAGAACTTACCCATCTGTAAAAATGAATCCTAGTGATGATGGCTGCACAACATGAATGTATTTAATGCTATTGAACTATAAATGTAAAAATAGTTAAGGTAACAAGCTTTAAATAATGTATATTTTACCATAATAAAAATGATTCCTTCCACTTTAATGCATCCAGCAAATGGCCCCAGGAGACAATTTTGGGATCTCTGATGCATAATTTTGAAAAAAATACACCTTCTTAACAAATTCAGGTTGGTATAATGATGACTAAGAAGTGTATGACCAGGTAGTAACATGACAATACTCTATAATAGCAGTAATAAGAAAAATTATGAAACAAGGAACACAGAGAGGATAGTTTCAGGATAGTAAAAGGACAAAAAGAATAAAAATGATGTCAGGTTAATGAGGGGTGGAGGAAAATTAAATAGAAGCCAAGGGTGATTCCATGGCCATATGCCACTTAGATCCCCATAGGAGTGAGAAAAACGTCAGGGTGGCTTCCAAATGGAACAGTAACTAAAAGTGGCAACTAAAGATTATATGAGCGAAGAGATTCAGACATAAAATAGTTGGAAAATGATCTTGAAAATAAACACTTTTTCAACTTTCATGGTGGTGGGTGAAGCCTAAAGCAGTTAAATTTCATATCCAGGTGAGTAAGAAATACCATATTCAGTCATATTTTAGAGTATCTTTTTAAAATTTTCTGTTCACATTAACCATTTTGTCACTTAGAAACAACTCATGTTATAAAGATAGCTGTGATTTCTTTCTGACAGTATGATACCAATATATGCAAAGTAGAAAACCACTGAAACTAATACATATCATTAATAGAAATACATGATGTATGATCAAAATATATGGTGAATGTTAAAAATGTTACTACAGTAAGAAATATTGCATTAATTCCCCTCAAAATACTCCCCCTCAATTTAAACATGTCATCATCCTGCCACTTTCTGAAGCAGTTCTGGAAATCCTCTTTCATGAGTGTCTTTAGGAGGTGTGATCAAGAATAATGACTGTTACTGAGTAGCATCCTACGGAAAGACAGGCTCACAAAAACATTGACTGTCTCCTTATTTACCTTATTCACTGGATCTGACCCTATGTGATTTCTGGGTCTTATCTAAAGTCAAAGTGACCATGAAAGGCAAACATTTTGAATGTATTCAGGTTTTAGGAGCAAAAATTATATATATATATATATATATATATATATATACCATCAGGTGAACATACATAAAATAATGTGATTTGCTTCAGAGGCTGAATCCATGAAAGGATAGCACTGGTAGTTAACCTTCACTTGCAAGATATGTCTCAGTCCCACTTGTTTGGATCTGACTCAAGGTGGAATGGAAGAGATATGGAAATGTAAATTAAAGCATTTTCCATGCCCTACATTGAATATTAGCTTTTCTTATTTCCCACAATAGCCATATGAATTGGATAAACTTTTTAACTCCATTTCATAAATGAGAAATTAATGCCCTGGCAATATGAGTGAGTTTTCTGAGTTCACACAGCTAGAGGGTTGGAATTCCATGTACAGTTGGCCCAATTCAGCTCTTGTAACTTTCTGAGGTATTATGGTGCTTCCTTAAAGACAGAAATTAGATTTTCTATGAGTCTCTCCAGAACTGTTTGATAAGAGGTCAAGAAAAAGCACTTACTAGATTGTAAATCTGGTTTAACTGGAAAGTCAAACCTGTGATCTGCTTGAACTGACCTCCTTCAAAAAGGTGGACCCTATGTTTGGAGGTCACACTGTAGCAGATTGTTGCTTTGGCCATTTACAGAACTACAAGCCTTGAGTATGAATCCATCTTTTAGATGTATATGTTAGTATTGTTAAAGGCTGCCAGGGGAATCCCATTGTGCTTATAGTCACCAGCATATAATATGATAAGCTTTCCTTCATCACTGTCTATAGCTCCAATATATAGGATAAAACCTTTTGCTATGTGCTATCACAGAACACTGTTCCTTTTGGGGTACTTATCGTAGTTTGCAATAATATATTCACTAAATGACCATTCCTTTAGTGTTTAGCACTAGCTTCTATGTTTCACAAAGGTAGGGCTAGTGCCTGTTTTTATCCTAAACATGAATGAATGAATGAATGAATGAATGAATGAGTGCTTTTCGAAGAATCTTGTGGCTACCTTTCTGGTCATAGAAGAAAGACACAAAGGCAGTGTCTTGGATGAATGAGCCTGTCTATGAGGTTTGTCTAGCTATTTATCGACTAGAAGTCCAAGTGCTAGGAAAATGCTGATTCTTGCTCTCTCTCTTGCTCTGTACTCTGGAGGCTCTGAGCTGTCCTAAAAGCATAGATGATCTTGACTTACCTCTTTCTGATGGTATTTGATTGCCACTTTCAGCTTGGCAAGGTCATGGTACTTTTGGGGATCAAGCTCTTCACTGTGGTCATCTCTATGGTTGAGGATGATCTCTAGTTCCCGGGAGCTCCGAGCTTGGTCCAGTAGATCTTTGGCAAAGAGCTTACACTGCTGAGAGAGCTCTTCATATTCAGCCTTAAACTCATTCTCTACCTTGCTGAGCTCCTTGAGCTCCCAGCCCAGGCGGAAGGCAGTTAGGATAGGGTCTTCACTTGATAAGGCAATGAGTGAAGGGCTTGCTAGGGCTTTATAGATGTTCAGTCTAGAACGGGAGTGGCGCAGGCTATCTACCTCTGAACTGGACACACACTCCACACAGTTGCAGCGGATCTGGTGAGGACGGGGAATAGTGACTCGTTTTTGGACAAGCAATTTGATGATCTCATAGTTGTTGGTGTGAGCAGCCAGCATGATGGGAGTGATGTCCGGTGTGAACTCAGAGAACTGGGTGTCCATCATCAGTGTAGGGACCTATGAATGTTCAAAAATTAGAAAGATAGTAAGGCATCATAAAAATTTAGAAAGAAAAGGAGCAGAGAGCTCATCAAATACCAATTGCAGTCTGTTTTATTGCCACTTTTTACCAGAATTGCTAATGTTTGTGAAATGCTTACTGTGTGCCAGCCATTGTTCTAAGCACTTTACACAGATTTACTTATTGAATTTGCACAATAACCTTGAGAGATAAATATTATCTTTACATGATGGAGCTGAGACATCAAGAGTTTGTTTTTTTTTTTTTTTTTTTTTTTTTTTTTTAAGGCTAGTCAAGTAAAGCAGTGGGAGTGGAGAAGGAACAAAGAAATCTGTAACTGGTTGTGATCAGAGACATCAAGAGTTTAAAAAACAAACCCAAAGTTATGCAGTTTTCAGTAGCAGAGCCAAGATGCAAACCCAGGTATTATGTTTCTAGAGCTTGGCTCTTAAATTGTGTTACTATAACACGCCTAGTTTCATCTAAGAAAAAATAGAGGAGACTAAAGTGTTGTGGGAAGATCAACCTATATAAAGTTAGTAACTACTTAGTAGTATGTGTTGGGTTCCAAATGAATTCTCTAGACTGCAGTAATAATTATTTAAAAGGTTAAAAACAGTCAATCCACCATCTTAAAGACCATATCACTAAATTAAGCTCTAGTGTCTGAAGAGAAGACTGTCTCAAATAGTTAAATTTACTATGTATGTACTGTATAAGGGAGTTGACTAAAGACCAAAGCCAAACAGGATTTGTTCAACTTCATTTAGGTCCTAGGAAGGTAATTTGTTTTTGTCAGGAGTATTCGGTCTGTAAATGAGGACTTCTGGTCTTATGGAGAGATTAATAGTAGCAAAACGACCCTTGATAATAAATAGTAGGTACAGGTGAAAGGTCTGTTGAGTGTAAACAGCAGGTATAGGTGAAAGATGCGGGGAACTTTCTAGGTATTAAGCAGCACTTCTGGGAAAGCAGACCCTGAACAATGAATTTTTAAATTTTTTTTCAAACTTGGAATGTAGGTTATTTGGGATCCAGTCTGTTTTCAGCTCAACAATGAAACAGAAAGCACATTAGACACACAGAGGAGTGTGAACTTAAGTAAGATTCAGAGTTATAGTATAGGGAAGGCTAGAATAATAGGAAAATTATTTATGTTGCGGAAGAGATGAGTAAAATTCCAGAAGATTGGGAAATACTGGTCCTGTTATACTTAAGAAAAAACAAACAGTTCCTTATATTCATTTTAACTGGCGGGAACGAAACCTGACTTATTAAAATTCTCACAAAACTGACAAATATTGTTTCAATCAATAGTATATATCTTTTATTTTCTAAGTCTCTTTAAAAATAATTCATCATCCGTTACCTGCTGAGTGATCAAGCTCTGAATCTTCCACTGATCTCTGAATCTCTCCTTGCTCCTCGTATCATTGTATACACCCATTACATTGTAGGTATCCAATAAATAGTGGTTGGTTTGGGGTATCGGTTATTTACCCATCCGGAGGCATTGACCTCCCAGCCCCCCATTATGCATTACTAAAAAACAAACAAATAAAAGCAATAAAAATAACTACTGGCTATTTGACAAATGAATGAGTTACTATTTTTCATTATTTTTGCCTCCTTCCCATGTGGCATGCGGGATTCCCTAAAGCGAAGTAGCCACAGAAGAGAGAATGGGGAAGACATGTAAAGCAGGAGGAGTTTCCAAGAAACCTGTTTCCTTCCCTCAGAGGTTGCATCAGCCTCTGAATAGTTGAAAGCTGGCTACACATCGCTCATCAGTTGCTAGGATGGAGGAGCAAATAAGCATTGTTAAACATTTAGAGAGAGCAGCTACAAGCAAAACAGCAGGAAATGAGCAACTTGGCTCATAAAGTAAATTGGACACAGGAAAGAATAATCTCAGAAATTAAAAATAAACCTAGAGGCTAAGGAAGAACTAGGTCGGAGTGGGCCTGGAAATGAACGTAAACTTAATCAGTAGAAAGCCTAGAATTGAGAGGAGTTGTAAGTGAACAATTTGTCACAGTCTGTCCCAGGAAGAAAAGAACCCAGATCTGGGAAATACATTCTTTCTTTGGGAAGAGGTGTTCCTGAAACTCTTTCACCATCTAACGGTGTTGGAGAAGGATATCCTGCAGCACAGGCTTCCTGGGTAGATTGGTCATACTGTCTGCGTTCTACCATGCAGCTCATCCTCTGTCCTTTCTCTCTCTCCTGTCATTTGCATCTTCTACTTTGCTTACTTTTTTCCTTTCTTATTTTCTTTTCTGTCAATGCTGCCAGGAATGTCCAAGATACACAGAAATACCCATGAGTATTATTTAGTCTCACTTGTGTCATAGAGACAAAAGGTTGCTATCTACATCTAGAATGTGAAATGCTTTCCAGAGCTATCTACATACATTGTCTAAAAAGGAACGTTTCCTTAATTTGGCTTTTTGAGTATTTGACACCAAAAAGGAATTTTTTTTTTTTACAAAAACCAAATAAATTGGTCTTCAGTGACCAGCCATGACCACACAGTCTTTTCTTCTTTAGTCGGTATTCTCATTCACAGGTTTACACACTCAGCTTATACACTGCTCTCCCTGAGTTTCTTGTGGAATCCTTTATGAAAAATGGTCTTGCCTTATATCTTTGCCAGTTAAGGCATACTGCAAGATGTAGCTTCCTTAATAGTGTATACTCTTCTTTCATTCATCCCTTGCTGCCCACCCAAATACTGTAGGCACAGGTTACATTCAAAACAATCACTTTTCCAATGCTGCTTTATATTATTCTCTAGTTATTTCATACATTTACTTCTTGCCTCCTTAAAAGGATAGGTGGTTCTGTCCTAAAGACAGAACTGGCCTATTCTGTTTTTATTTTCGGACAGCAGGTGGCACTTAGTAAACTATAAATCTATTCTCAAATTAAGACAATGATTCTCTTGCTTACAAACCTACCTACCAAAATTTGTGTCAACATTGGGTAAGTTTCTCCTGATTTTTACTTTCCCAGGCCAGCTGAAAAAATAGGCTTCTCAAGACTCACTGGAGAGTTAACTGACTGGATCTATATTAAACTACCCAGAGGTCTCAAAAATTTGAGACAGACCCTCCTTTATGTCATATTGCAAAGTTATATTGCTTTGACATGGAGACTCTGATTCATAGAAACAGATGTCTCTACCTCCTGTATTCATTATTCTGCTCTTTTCCTTGCAAGATCATTCAAGGATAGTATACTATCATCAGCATAGCCAATGTAAAAAAAAGTTCTGTGAGGTTCTATGGTTTTGGATAATAATCTAGACTTTATGAGATGATCTGCAAAAAGACCAATAAGGTAACAGACAACAGGAACTGAAAGGTGTAGGTGTACATGCCTGATTTAATAAATCCATGATAGGAACTGGTAATGTGAGTCTCTCAAAGGGAGCAGCTGCTGCAAATTGTTGTTTTACTGGCATGAAAAAGGGTTACATGCTGTAATATTTCAAAAGAAGTCAGAAATATAGAGTTAGGATTAGAATAAAAGTTTTACAATTTTTTTAGCTTAAAAGATTTAAAGATAGTGTGTAGTCAAACAAAGAACATATCTGAGGCAAATTTGACTTGATATAATTAGCTTGTGACCCTTGTGCTAGGCATGAACTGTGACTAAGGAAGGATGGGAGCAGCTGGATATTTAGGGAGAGACTAGATGATAAAAGGCCTTCTGTGCATTACAAATCTTAGATATTATTTATTGGCTGTTGGGAAAAGTTTTGTTCAGAAAAGTGGCATAGTTTATCAGGTGTCTTAACAAAAGTCAGCTTGGCCAAGGCATAGGAAATAGGTAGTGGTATTTTTACTGGTAGATGTGTTTAATAAGCATCTCTCTACAGTAGGAAAGTAAAAGATTCTTATTTATAGTGTTTGCTGATTTCTGTGGTGTAAATACCCACTCTGTGCCAATTTTAAGCTGCCAACATGACATCATGGAACACACACTTGGGAAGGAGGAACAAACTAGATGTCAACTACTAGAGTTATCAAGCTCCACCCTACTGCTGAATGAGCTTCAGAATGGTAGACTAGTGAAAAGATACTAGCAGTCTAAAGGAAGAGGTGGCAAGGCTTTTTAATTAGAGAAATTCTAGAGGCATATAGAAAAATATCAGATTTAAGACATTTATTATATGTATTGAGTAAGGGAAGGAGAAGAAACCTAGGAAACTGGTTTTTCTAGATTGCAATCCTGATTGAATGGCACTGTTTCTAATTAAGATAATGAATTCAAGAGGATTAACAGAATAAAGGATTTTAAAAGTTCTGTTTGAGAAATGTTGAGTTTGAAATCATAAATGAAAAAGCAGCGGGAAACTGTATAATTCCAGTGTGAATCTTATAGGACAGGTCAGGGCTGAAACTAAAGATGTGAGAAGCTTCAAGTAATAATAGTAGATAAAACCAAGGGGTGACTGGGATTGGCCTTTACCTCCCCTTGTTCACCCACATCTTGAACCATTGATCTACTCTGAGAACTTTTTCTTGCTTCAGTTTCCAGAAAAACTGATTCTTGATGCAGTAAATGCTCAAGTGGCCAGCTTCAGCCTCCTCCCTTCCATATTCCAAAAACTAGGGGTTTGCACTGGGGCACCGTCCTTATTCTATGGATTGCTGAATCACACTTCTTCCTCACCCTTGTCCTAGTTTGCAAAACTCTGGATCCCTGAGCTTCTGGCTGAATACCACATGCCTCTGGTAAGAAATGTGGAGGGGAAGGTATAGCTTGAATACTTTGAAGAGGAACCATAGAGGAGAGGAGATGTTGCAGATAAAGGGAAGGTGGGGCTCATAAGTGTGGTTCAAGATGCCTGAGGTGATGAGGAGGCACAGTCAAGACCAAAGGTGGGATTGGGGGAACTTAATCTTGGTCTGGAAGGATGCCTTATTCTCAGAGAATGAAGGAAAAAGGTGAGTTGAGTGGACCTATAGTTAAGTGCACCATTGGAGCG